AAGTAATATGATCTATATAAGTGCAAAAAATACACTTATCAGATGCCACCGAAAAGCAGCAAGAATTGAGTAGAGGCAGTCTCAACGGAGCTGACTTAGCAGTTGAAGATAGAAAGGGTAAAATAAAGTCCCATTTGAATGTTTATATCTGCAATCATTCATTTTGCAGGTTTTCAATTGTCGAGATTTCTTGATCTGTGCATTTTTTTCTTGTGGTTATCTGAATTCTGTCGGTAGTTCATTGCTGATAGTGGGTGTAATGTTTAAACTCAAGCTTTGACGCCTTCTCGTTATATTTTGGTATAGTTTTGGAGTGGAATTGTTGTAAACGCCTCGGCTTCATGTCTGTTTGCTTGTGGAGCATAATTTCTTCATCATGGTGTATCGAGGTAGTGTTTTTAATAGTTTAGTTATAAATAAGTTAGTTTGTGACTTTTGTGGAGAACTAGCGCCTTAGATGCTAATTTCATAATTGGATAGGCTATATTGCTCTTCAGTTTTTTAAGTGCTCAAAGTCCTGTGTACATTCAGACAACAGTATGAGATCCCCAATATTTAGGGGCTGTTTGTTTCTGCTAAAAAGCAGAAATCCAGCCGTTGGAATGGTAGAATTCCTACCGTTGGAAAAATTCAAGCCGCAATGTTTGACCCTTTGTTTGTTGTGTGGGACCCGCCTGCAACAACTAACGGTCAAAAAATCACAATTGTGGATGTGGAAAATCAATAGCAAACAACACCTTATAGTGGTCATAAAGTTAGGAAGTATATGAGAGATGTTTACTTTGTTCTATAAATATTTTAATGAGATTTCAAATGTTTGAAGTGTTTTGATTGTGCAAGACAATCATGTTACCATTGAATTAAGGAAATAATAAAATATATTTAATATGTTGTGTCCAAACATCCAGAATTTGAGCACTGCCGAACTTGGCGTTTTGATGCATACTATGTTAAGATTTGTGGTTCATCTTAAAATGGCAACTTTATTAAGAGGAGTAACCCAAACTCTTATAAATTGGTCTATATTTTCATCTTTATACAATGTGTCTTAACATGCTCCCCACAAGATGGTGGCTCGTCTGAGCAGACCAATCTTAAAATTCGTATGCTCAATTTTTTTTGAATCTTAATCGGATCGAATTACTCATTTGAGCTTAATGGGATTGTTTGAGTTTAATGGACTCTGATACCATATTAAGATTTTGGGTTCCATCTTAAAAGATCAACCTTATTAAGAGAAGTAACTCAAACTCTTATGAATTTATATATATTTTCATCTTTATTTGATGTAGGATTTTATCCATTAATACTATTTAACCTCAATGTCGATGGGTCATCAAGGATGCTACAACAAGAAAATAATGGTTACGTACTGATGAGAGGAACAAATATATGATATTAGCTCTTATTGGATGTTAATTAGAGTTAATTCTACCTGCAACGACACGTTCTGCATGAAACTATGGGAAAACTGCTTTCTACCAAATACAAATTCTGTCAGCAGATGAACCAATGACAACATTTTTCATATGCAAGAGAGAGATATGCTCACGTTAGTTCTGTCAGACATTTATGGAGGTGCAGTCAGTGATCAATGACCTAATTTGCGGAAACATCCAGGAGGTTGACATGCTCCTTGGACTTTGAACCCAAAAAATACCATCATAAATCACGAAGGTGGTATTATGAATTTTAAAAACTGTTATATCCGCTGTAGAAACTATGTAAATTATTAATTAAATGATACTCATTTCGAAATTCCTACATAAATTTTTTTTGGTTGACTGGAAGAGTAAAAAATCAATGTAATGAAGTATAATTAACCTCCACAATCACACTCGGGAAAAAAATAAAATTGAAAACTTTAATTGCCTACTTTCTCCTACATCTGTTTTGCTTTATGCTTTTCTATCTTCAAAGACGACTGAAAATGACCTCTATGTTGATAATTTTCGGACCATGTTTGACTAAACTTAAAATCTATCTAATAAGCAAAGAAATACGAAATAATTAATAAAAGTCATAATCGGGTTTCGACAAGTAATAATTTAATTAGACCAAAATAGGTAAAATAATTTGCAAATTTGCGTTGCAAAACATATATGAAACAAAAAAGAAACTTAATTTTCCCCAAAATAACACTATGTAATCGCATGCTATTCAGTTGTGCGATCGCAATGTCATTTCCATGTTCGTCACTATTTTTCCTAAACATACCTTTACGACGGTAAAGGGTTTTGTACCTTGTGATCGCAAGGTACGTCTTTTATTTTCGATTACAATTTGGTCCTTGCTTTTAACAGCTTGTTCTGCTTAAGTCCTTTATAATTTTAATCGAAGCTTTTGATCCTTTAATTTGTATCATGTTGGTCCCACTCTTAGAATTATCACAAAACACATCTTTTTTTCCAATTTTCGTTATTTTCTCCAAAAGCTAGTCGAACATTGAGTCTTACCTAAACGAATAATATTTGCACAAGATTAAGCAGTAATTTCTCAAAAGTACTTATAAATATTCATATTTAACGGTCTAAAAGAGTGAATTAAATATATTTTTGAAAATCTCCCAACTTGAATATTTGTTCGTCCTCGAAAAATCATATAATTTAGATTCGTATTACCATCAGTTCTTCAAGATACTTTGCTCTAATTTTTACACACTTTTAAAGTATTGGTATTCCCATTTTGGTGGTGGATATTTCTTCTTTAGTTTTGGGCATTTGTCCAGTATACCAAGCTTCTCAACTACATCTCCAACCATGCCAGTAAATATCTGTAAATAATTTTAATAATTAACAAAAATTGATAATAAATTTTAAAGCTCTTACCAAAATACAACGATCTCTGAACTTAATTAAATTAACAACTCCCTAAAAACTCCAAATTGCACTAAATGATGAAGAAGCATTTATGATTCCGGTAATACAACAACAAAATAAGTCTTGTTCTCGATAAATTTGGGGTCAACTATATGAAAATTGAAACTTTTCTTGAGCGACAATGCGGTCCATTAGTTTCTCCAACATTAACAATGGTACTATTTCTTCTGATTGTATCATTTCTGACATGTTGAAATGGATATTTGGCAAATTTGACTTTTGATCACGGCCAAACATGCTCTAATTGATTTGTTTCGATGAAAATTTGAAATGACATGCTTTCTGCAACAAGTAGGTTTTTTGATAATTGGTTGATTATGCTGGCTTTTGAGTTAAAAATATGAAGTTTACATGATTCCTTGAGTTGTTGTGTGAGACATATGTGTGCTAATATGAATAAATAGATATGCATGGTTGAATTTAGGAAAATAAGCTCTTATTATCTGCTATTTGTTTCAATTTACAGTCTTTTGTTGTGGTCTAATTAAATTATTACTTGTAGAAACCCAACTATGACCTTTATTAATTATTTCGTATTGCTTTGCTTATTAGATAGATTTTAAGCTTAGCCAAACATAGTCTGGAAATTATCAACATAGATGTTGTTTTCAGGCATCTTTGAAGACAGAAAAGCAGAAAGCAAACGAGATGTAGGAGAAAGTAGGCAATTAAAGTTTGAGTTCGATTTTTCTCTCTTTTTTTTTCCGAGTCTTATTGTGGAGATTAATTATACTTCATTACATTGATTTTTTATTCTTCCAGTCAATCAGAAAATTTTATGTAGGAATTTCGAAATGAGTATCATTTAACTAATAATTTACATAGTTTCTACAGTGGAGATAACAATTTTTAAAATTCATAATACCGCATTTGTGATTTCCACAAGAGCACAGGAGTGAGGAGAGTTCCAGGTGCAGAACTATCAAGAATGGACTCCTTTAATGTGGATCATCTCCTGGATANAGAGCACAGGAGTGAGGAGAGTTCCAGGTGCAGAACTATCAAGATTGGACTCTTGTAATGTGGATCATCTCCTGGATAGCCCTACGCTCCCACCTGTAACAGACATTACTTCTGATCCCAGTGATAGACCTTGCTCAAGTTTTACAACTGATCAGGAACCCGAATTCGAAGGGAGAATTTCATCATCTAGACTAATACAAATGCCACATGATAAGAAAGCCTTCCTTTTGCCTTCACAAAACTTGAATAGTTTCAACACTACTCATCCTGTTCCAATTCCCTATTCCCACGTTAGTGTTCCTGCTAACTCAATGTTTTCCTACCAAGATGGGATTGGCTCGACGTCTGGCTATCGCTCAATCTTACCCTTCAAAGGTATTGAACAGGCCAACTTAAATCTTTTGATGCCACCAGATCAAAGAATATTGGAACTCGAAAAGAAGTGCAAATCAGAGTATTTTTCGGCGAACAATTCTCTGATCAGTCATTCCCGTGATACTGGATTGAGTACTGATATTGCTACTGATGGAGATATTGAAAGCAAGAAGCCATTCCCGTCAACTAGATGTTTCCGCAAATTAGGTCATTGATCACTGGCTGCACGCACCTCCATAAATGTCTGGCACAACTAACGTGAAAATGTCTCTCTTTTGCATATGTAAAATGTTGTCATTGGTTCATCTATCTGCCTACATAATTTGCATTTGGTAGAAAGCAACTTTCCCATAGTTTCATGTAGGACATATGTCGCTGCACGTAAAATTAACTCTAATTAACCTCCAAGTTTATCCAACAGGATCAAGAATAATAAGAGCTAATGTCATATATATGTTACTCTCATCAGTACGTAATTATTATTTTCTTGTTGTGAATAAAATTCCACATCGAATAAAGATGAAAATATAGACCAATTTATAAGAGTTTGAGCTACTCTTAATAAGGTTGACCTTTTAAGATGGAACCCCAAATCTTAACATGGTATCAGAGCCCATTAAACTCAAACGAGCAATTCGATCCGATTAAGACAAAAAAAAAATAAATTAAGCATACGAATTTCAAGATCGATCTGCTCAAACGAGCCACCATCTTGTGGGGACATGTTAAGGAATAAAATTCCACATCGAATAAAGATGAAAATATAGATTAACTTATAATAATTTGTGCTACATCTTTTAAGAATGTTGACTTTTTAAGATGCAACCCAAAATCTTAAAATACAACTACAAGCGTACCCAAATGTAAGAAGCATTTGAGCTGATCCATTTATTAATTCAACCAGATGAGTGTCGCTAAATACTTCAGCTGGTTGCTAAGGAATGAAAAACAAGTTTTCCTCCAATCTTGGGGAAGTTGTTACCATGACTTGCCGGTAAATTGATCTCATCACGAGCTTTATAAAACCCTAGGTTTATGGATTGTCCAACGCACCTCGACACCATAGTTGAAGGCTGATCAGAGAAATGCTGAAACAAATCAAAAGAAAAGACCATCTTTAAAACGTACACTTCTTCTGTAACACTTCTTCTTCTTCCTGTACATAGAAGAATTTTGTCTATTTGTAGTTTTTGGCTAATGAGGAAGTTCTTGTATCCAACGTAATTTATTACCTCTTAGCAGTATCATTTGGTTGTAAACAGAGAAAGGCAAGGCTGCTGAGTTTGTTATCAGTCATAAATCACATAGGAAAAAAAGTGGTTCTGTAGTATCAAATTTCCTTCCATTTCAAAACTCTTAAAGAGTGTGGCTTGTCGATCTATGAGAACTGGATAGATGCGATTCTTTTATATGATCTTGCTGCATAAATTTGTAAATATCAACTCGGGCAAGAGTTTTTGGAATCTGTGAGTTGAAATTCTGTTGTTTAATTCCAGTAACATGCCCCTTTACTGTAAAATAAATGAATTTGGTAGTTGATTTGCAATCTCACAATGATTTTGGGCATAAATATTTGGACTTGTATATACACACACGTTTTCTGGATATAGGATATAAATTTTGTAGATTTGATTAAGTCTGTCTGATGAGCTCGAAGGACACCCATTCATTTTCTAGATTTCCTCCCTGGAGGTCCTGTTTTATTGATCTTGCTTGTTTGGGTCCCTACAGGCTACAGGCTGTGGTTTCTTGATCTGTTTATTTACTTGATTTTTCATGTTATGTTTGTATCCTATTTCCATGAGCCTCTTTCATCCCTTAAAAGAGTATGGACGTGGTTGTAAGTTCCTATGTTTTAGGCATACCATAATCTGTGCTTTACTTTGAGAAAATTTTCCATTTTCTCTTTCTTTAGTTGCTGACATTTTTTCTGAACGATCATTATCATTATTTCAGTATAAGAGGTCTGTAATTCGCTCAGATTCTGAAATCATATTTTTATGGCATTATAGATTCTAGTGATGGTGCAGAAACTCCTCTTCCGAACCGCGATACAGATGATGATGGGAATCCTATTTACAATTTTCTTTATCCTAGTAAAGAGCTCCTTCCTGATGATAAAGAAATGAGCATATATGATCATTTAGAGGAGTTGAGACAGAGAATTTTCACGTCAGTTTTGGCCGTTGGAGCTGCTATGCTTGGTTGTTTTGCGTTCTCAAAGGAACTTATTATATTTCTTGAAGCTCCAGTTAGCGCACAAGGTGTTCGATTTTTGCAACTAGCTCCTGGAGAGTTCTTCTTCACATCTCTAAAGGTAGATATTTTTGTCATCAATATCTCTTAGTTCCATAAGTGAATCTGTAGTTCTCTTTTCATTTGGCATTAAATAAAATTTATCACGTAATTATTGTAGCCATTCAGACTTCTGGTCATCCAAAACTACAGCTTCTATCTCTAGTTGTACTTTCTTATCTGTGTCTATTACCTGTAATGGGAATTCAAAAGCTCCCATTTAGCCCCTGAAGTTATACATGTACAGCTGGGATTAAATGAACCTTTCGTGTAAACCTAATCTAGAGGTAAAATGTTTCTTGATCTTAGACATGACATATTAGCATATGTGTTTTCTGCATGAAATCTATCCGTTGTTAGCGATAGTTTCTAATTAGAGTAGATATATTGTCAAAAAGGGTGCTCAACTTGACGACTGCAGTTAGATTATGCCTTGGTTCTGTTTCCACACAAGAGAGTGACACAAGTGCTTTTGTCATTCCACTTTCTATTTATCTTATGTAAAGGCCATTGTTGGTAAAAGTTTAATAAGTGAGTGATTCATATGACAGGACTAATGTTTTCTTCTCTACATTGCTCCACCTCTTATCTTATGCCCTTTCAAGGTTTCACTAATTTCAATTTAAGATCTGTGTATAGTTTTGGCAGGTTGCGGAATATAATTACATTCGAGTATCCTTTTTTTTTTTCATAACTGGATTAGATGTTTAACTTTCTGATATAACTAATCACTCTTTTAAGTGGAAAATTAGAGTGCAATCTGAAAATACACAGTTTATTCTACTTCAAAAGCTGTTAGCAATTACATAGTTTATCTACGTCAGGAAGTGTCACTCATGCTCTCGTTGAAGTTCAAGATGTAATCCTTCATGTCCAGGGTTGAAGTTTAGATCTAATCCTCCTTTAAGAATGGGTTTCATATTTTAATTCATCTCAGAAAAACAGAGTATTTCTTATTTTATGAAAATTCAAGTTATTCCCTTCATATTCTTGGCAAACTTTGAACATCTGCTGACAAGGAACACTTACAATATGTCCAGTCAGTAGCCCCTTCATGGCAATAGTTTTTTGTTTTTTTAAATCAGAAGTATTGGGATGACTGTTTTTGTTTCTTTTTTACTTTTTATTGTACAAAATAAATAATTTCATATTTGATGCAGGTTTCAGGATACTGTGGCCTCCTATTAGGAAGCCCTGTGATTCTCTATGAGATGATATCGTTTATTCTTCCGGGTTTAACAAAAGAAGAGAGAAGATTCCTGGGGCCAGTTGTCCTAGGGTCCTCAGTTCTTTTTTATGCTGGCCTAATCTTCTCTTATTACGTTCTCACTGCAGCAGCCTTGACATTTTTTTTTTAGTTACGCAGAAGGGGTTGTTGAATCACTGTGGTCTATTGATCAGTACTTTGAATTTGTCCTTGTGCTCATGTTTAGCACTGGATTATCTTTCCAGGTAAAGTTTATTCTTTATCTGTATTATCTCTTTCATTTAGAATGTTCTATTTCAATAATATTATTGTGACTAGCTAGATATGGTTGTAAGTATTAATCAAAGTGTTAAATGCAGTTTACCCCTTTTTTGTTGTTTGTTTTGTTGATTACCCACATTCTAGTTTGAATTAAACTCCTCTGTGTTTACTATATCTATTTATATTTGTGTAAAATTACTGATGTATTCTCACTGCTTTTTGAATATTTTGATGTTTATACTGAAATAGCGCTGATAGCTGACCTTCCATTATAAATTCTTCTTTTGTCTTCGATAGTGCTGAAATGACTATCCTATCCACAAAGATTGCTTGGACTATTTTTCAAAGGTTATGGAAGTCATTTCCTTCATAAACTAATAAAGCTATGTCATGTTTGGGTAGGAAAGAACACTTTGGTTTTTACAATATTGCTATCTAAATCAGTCTCTGTTTGTGCTCAAGTACAATTTCAAATGTGCCATATGAATGAGTGTATTGTTTACGGGCTAATGTTTCTCTGGTGATGTAATTATGCAGCACCATTCTGCTTCTTGCAGAGAACAGTTGGTCGATTTGATAGGAATGGATAAGATTGTTTTGGAGGTTGGGAACACCATCTAATTGTCTGATTGGAAGAAATAGGTGCAAAAAGATAATAATGTTTGAAAGATGCAAAAAAATTTTGAACAGCTCGATTGGATCGAATTGTTTAAATCTCGGATGTGATGCGATATTTCTTCTTAACAAATTGATTGATGTCTCGTTTTTTGTCGTCCTCTATAGGTTCCAGTAATACAGCTGCTTCTTGGGCAACTGGGCTTAGTGTCATCAGAACAGATGCTCTCTGTTTGGAGATATGTAGTGGTAGGTGCAGTGATTGCTGCTGCTATACTCACACCATCAACAGATCCTCTTACTCAACTGCTGCTGGCTGGACCCCTTATGGGTCTTTATTTGGGCGGAGCATGGATGGTAAAGCTTCTTGGCCAATGATCTACTTTACAAAAGTTGATGTGATACCCAAGTTTTATATGGTGTAGGCAGTTTACCAAATTTCCAGGGATGCCCACATTCAAGAAAATGCCCATATAAGTTATCAGACTGAACTCAATTGATTTCTTCTCGATTATCTATCCTTTGGTAGTTTATACATTATAATCATTTGCTAGTATGAGCTCCAATGATTTGCCTTATATTAGTTTGGTTACAAAGGGGTCCGTAGTCGGGTTTTGGAAGATTTTGTATCGTTGCTTGAAGAGAGAATGAGGTTTAACAATGTTGGCGACTTGGTGGAAGAAACTTGTTTCTTATGTTTGGTGTTCCATACCATAGTACCTTTGTGACCATGTCTCCAAGTGACTGTTGATTGAGCTAAAATGCTCATTTACACTGTTTTGCTGTTCTATACCTTAGTACCTTAAGCTTTTTTGATGTATCATTGCACTCGATGAAAAACTTATTGTTGTTTGTCGTTAATAAGGACACTGAAATAAACCGTATGGATAGTTTAATTGAGATTTAATTTAAGTTACAAATTTATATAAAATTATAAATTCATTATAACTTTTATATACATGGTTACATTATTACTACGTTAAATTAACATGGAATTACAACACGAGTCACTATTTACTATTGATTACTATATAAGGGCTTTGACGTAGATTTTTTAAGAATAAATTTGGTGAAATTTGACTTGTTGGAATGTATTTGTTCACGAAAATATGTTTC